TGCACAGGCTGGTCTCGAACTCCGTGTTCTCCAAATGGGCTTTCCTGGTTTGCTGCCTGGGCTCACTGCTTCCCGGGGCTCCCGTGTCACTGGTGTCCCCACCCCCACCGTAGCTGGCCTGCTCTGTTCCTGTCCCACTGGGCTCATGTCTGAGCGTGCAGACTGGGGGATCTTTGTGGCAATGGGGCTGCCCAGCACCCCACACCCCTACACCCTCCTACACCCCCCCCACCCCACCAATGTGACCCCTGCACCCCCGAGGCCAGGACCCAGGCTGTTCCTGCTGGGCGGTGTGGCGCATCTCAGAAGTCTGTGGTGACCTCTCCTCACAGCCTCCCCGGGGCGGCCTTGGCACTGCAGCACTGTGATCCAGCGTGGTGTGGGCTCTGCTGCTTTCTCTGCCTGGACGGCCCTGGTGGCCTGAGGAGCTGAAATGCCCCCTTCCCCTAGAGCCCCCTGCAGTCAGGGCCTGAGCTCTGTGGGTGCCATCAGGAGGGGGGATCTGCAGACCCATGCAGCTGGGGGGCCCCTGGGGCATGGAGGGGCCCATGTGTCCCTTCCCGTCCATGCCCTGCCAGTCTGTCCTCAGGGCAGCATTATCACGGAAGGAAACCGGGACAGTGACAGCGGTCCCTTGTACCAAGCACACCTTAAAAATGAACCTATGGAGGCTGTCCCCATCCCTGGCTGCCGGATGCCCCTTGGACGCTGGGGCTCTGGTCTCCGACCCTTTGTGGACTTTGTGGGGACAGCGATGGAGGAGGAGGATGCCCGAGGATAGGCTGGGCACGAGGCTGTCAGTGCCCGGGTTTTACAGATAAAAACACAGGACATGTCTGCAGCATTTGGGATGGGCTCACATGGAGACCCGGCTCCCTGATGGGGGCGTTGGGGGCTTTCCCAGTGACTGTTGCTGTTTCCTGGGCCCCCATTTCTGACCATGGCAGACCCAGCGGTGGTGTGAGCTCAGGCGAGTGGGCTGCACCCTGGAGGCAGGGCCATGGGTACCGCCCTGCACGCAGCTCCTCCCGCTCAGTGATCTTGGGGGCTGTGTCTGTTCTCCAGTTCTTTTGCGACCCCGTCCCCTACTTGCTAAAACGTATGTGTAACCCTAGAATTCACATTCGTGTCGCTTTTGCAGCCATTGGTGGGCACACATAGGCCGCTAAAAGCCCGAACTGCGTGGTGCCCAGGTGCCTGTTGGGGTGAGTGAGGGACCTTGCCCTCTGCTGGTGCGCCCGTGTCGGGAGCAGGTCGTCCTTTCTTGGTCTGTTGAGGGCCACGCTTCTTGCATTTGGGGCTCTTGCCTATGATTTTGCTCTTCAGATGCCCCGGGGAGGTGCTACAGCGGGTGTCCCTGTGCACAGGTGGGCTGTGACGGGTCCACGGACAGAATGCGTGTTAGACGGGCTCTGCTCCCGTGTGGGTTCAGTGTCAGAGAACAGCAATACTTATTATTTAAAGTCCTTTGACAGAAATGCAAAATAATGCTGTTGTGTATTGACTGGTAGCTGAAAATGTGACCAGAGGCTCGTAGGCACCTGACCCCGTATTTCCTGTAGGAGCAGAGGTTTGGTGTTCAGCAATTCAGTATTAGCGGTGACTTTATAGAACGTAATTACTGCAGATAATGAGAATTGACTCTGTGGGTGTGTGTATTTTTTTTTAACCTGAAGTCAGGTTTAGGCTGGGCACAGTGGCTCCCGCCCGCAATCCCAGCACTTTGGGAAGCTGAAATGGGCAGATCACTTGAGCTCAGAGTTTCAACCTGACCAACATAGCAAAACCCCATCTCTACTAAAAATACAAAAAACGTTAGCCGGGTGTGGTGGTGCCCGCCTGTAGTCCTAGCTGCTTGGGAGACTGAGGCAGGAGGCTGAGCGCTGGAGGCAGAGGTTTCAGTGAGCCGAGATCGCACCCCTGCCCTCCAGCCTGGGTGACAGAGCAAGACCGTCTTAAAAAAAAAATCAGGTTTATTGAGGTACGCGTTACCCACGGAAAGCCGCTTGTGTGGGGCCTGTGGTTTTCACTCATGCAGCTCTTCTCACCTGACGTGCTCCTCCGGTGCCCTTTCGTAGTCAGCCGCCTCTCCTCCCCCGGCTCGCAGCCACACTGGCCTGTTTTCTGTTCCTGCCGTTCTGCCTTGTCCAGAGTGCCACAGAAGTGGCCTTGCCCACTATGTGGGCTTTTGTGTCTGGCTTCTTTTTTTTTTTTTTTTGAGATAAGGTCTTGCTCTGTCACCCAGGCTGGAGTGCATGGTACAGTCATGACTCACTGCAGCCTCCACCTCCCAGGCTCAAGTGATCCTTCCCCCTCAGCCTCCTGAGTAGCCGGGACCACAGGTGCACGCCACCACACACAGCTGAGTTTCTCTGTATTTTGTAGAGATGGGGCCTTGCTATGTTGCCAAGGCTGGTCTTGAACTCCTGGTCTCAAGCGCTCCTCCCACCTCACGCTCCCATAGCTGCCATGGCCAGCCTTGTAGTAATTCTTGAAATCGAGTACTGGGAATCTTTGTTCCTCATTTTTAAAATGGTTTAACCTGTTCCCGTTCCTTGGCATTCCTTTACAGGGTTTAGACTTGGCTTGCTGATTTCTACAGAAACCAAAAAGAGGTGGTTTTGTTTGTTTGTTTGTTTTTGAGGGGCCCCGGGCTGGAGCGCAGTGGTGTGATCTTGGCTCACTGCAGCCTCAGCCTCTTGGGCTCAAGGGATCCTCCCCACTTCAGCCTCCTGAGTAGCTGGGGCTCCAGGCAGATGCTACCATGCCTGGCTAGTTTTTTATCTATTTTTGTAGAGATAGAGTCTCACAATGTTGCCCAGTCTGGGCTCAAACCCCTGGCCTCAAAGTGCCAGGGTTACAGGTGTGAGCCGTCGTGCCTCGCCTCACCTTGCACTTCTATGTGACAGGAACGGCTTCCTTCCTTTCACTTCATGAGCCAACTTCTGCGGGCTTCAGATGTTTCTCTTGCAGCCCAGAACTGAAGGGCGTTGGGGCCTTGCCTGGCCGAGGCTTTGGCTGAGGGAATATTGTGTGTGTTGATCTCCCCCCGGCCCCTTCCCTGTCAGTACTCAGGCTGTTGACCTTCTTATCATTCTTGGCTTCACTGGAAAGGCACGTTTTCTTTTGTTTTGAGACGGAGTCTCTGTCGCCCAGGCTGGAGTGCAGTGGCACAGTCTCTGCTCACTGCAGCCTCTGCCCCCGGATTCAAGTGATTCTCCTGCCTCAGCCCCCCAGGTAGCTGGGACTGCATGTGTAGCACCACCATACCCAGCTCATTTTTTAGTATTTTTAGTAGAGATGGGGCTTCATAATGTTGGCCAGGGTGACCTCCAACCCCTGACCTCAAGTGATCCTCGCGCCTTGGCCTCCCAGAGTGCTGGGATTACAGGCCTGAGTCACTGTGCCCAGCCAGGAGCAGCACTTTTAACTTCTTTTTTTTTTTTGAGAGGAGTTTCGCTCTTGTTACCCAGGCTGGAGTGCAATGGTGCGATCTCGGCTCACCACAACCTCCGCCTCCTGGGTTCAGGCAATTCTCCTGCCTCAGCCTCCTGAGTAGCTGGGATCACAGGCACGCGCCACCACGCCCAGCTAATTTTTTGTATTTTTAGTAGAGACGGGGTTTCACCATGTTGACCAGGATGGTCTCGATCTCTTGACCTCATGAGCCACCGCACCCGGCCAACTTCTTTTGCTTTGATAGAGTGTTGCTCTGTCTCTCTGTTGCCAGGGCTGGGGTGCAATGGTGCGATCTCAGCTCACTGCAACCTCCACCTCTCTGGTTCAAGCAGTTCTCCCACCTCAGCCCCCGAGTAGCTGGGATTACACACACCACCATGCCCAGCTAATTTTTGTATTTTTAGTAGAGATGGGGTTTCACTATGTTGGCCAGGCTGGTCTCGAACTGCTGACCTCAAGTGATTCACCCTCTTTGGCCTCCCAAAGTGCTGGGATTACAGGTGGGAGCCAGCGCGCCCGGCCCACTTTCGGTTTCTTTCAGGAACTGTCCCTCTGCATTCACAAATTGGCTACCTGCTTGGTGCTAAAGGCCTAGCTTTCCATGAGGTATCTTGGCTTTCGACATGCCTTCCTCACTAAGCTTGGTCATTGATTTCCAGCTTTTGTTCCAAAGTGAGAGATGTGTGGCTCTCAGCTCTTCCCTTCGCTTGACTGCATAGACGCCGTGGCAGGGTTATTAATTGGCCCAGTTTCAGTATTGTGTCTTAGGGAATCGGGAGGCCCCAGGAGACGGAGAGAGAGGGAGGGATGGCCAGTTCCTAGGGCGGTCACAACACGCCGTCTATGAATTCAGTTATCAGATGGCCATGGCTCATGGTCATAGCCACGACATATCATGACAGCAGTAGCAGCAGGGGTCGCTGGTCACAGATCACCGTAACCAAGAGAATAATGGCTAAAAAGTTGGAAATACTGAGCGAATTACCAAAACGTGACAGCGACGCGTAGTGAGCTGTTGGAAGAATGGCACCGAGAGACTTTGCTCGATGCAGGTGGCCACGAGCCTTCAATCTGTAAGAAACGCACATCTGTAAAGCGTCCCCAGGCTAAGCACAGAGCCCGCGTAGGTCTGTTTGGGAAATAATTGGCATCTAGACCAATCTTGAGTCCTCTCGTACAGGGACTGGCAAACTGGCCCACTGCCTGTTTGTGATGACTCATGAGCTAAGAATGGGTTTTACATCTTTTAATTGTTCAGAAGAAATCAAAGGCAGAAAACTTCATGACACATAAAAATTATGTGAAATTCATATTTCAGTGCCCCGGAATACAGTGTATGGGAACACAGCCCCATGAATGGGATTCTGGTGATTCTGTGGCTGCTTTGAGCCGCCGTGGTGGGGTTGAATATCCGTGCCAGGGACCGGAAAAGACAGACTGTTTCCTACTCTCACACATTCAACACAGAACACTTCGCCTCTGGTCCCTGGAACGTGTGTGTCGTCGGTTATCCAGCGGACGCCAACTGGATGTCCTATGATTTAGCGCAGTGTTGACACTGCTTCCCTGGAGAGAATATTACTTCTGCAGCTGAGTGGCTGAGTCTCACAAGACTGTCCTCTCTTTTTTTTTTTTTTCCCGACTTTAAATAGACCTTTAATAACTGGGGTGTGGTTTAGGACTTCAAGGTTGGATGGTCTAGGCGCAGAGACAGTGGGGAGCTCAGCAGGCCGTTGGGACTGGTGCTGGCGGTAGCCGCCGCGGCGCATGTAGCCCTCGTTTTTGCGGTAGCCGTCCTTCTGGTCTCGGAAGTAGCCGCCGTAGGTGCCCTGCTTGTGGTCAAACACCCGCTCGTTGTTCTCCACCAGGCGTCCCAGCTTCTCAGCCGGCTGCAGAGCCAGGTTCTGCTGGGCAGTGGGCTCTGTGCGGCGCGTCGCCACTGTCGGCATCGGCTGGTCCAGAGAGGCCATTAGCTCCTCATTAATGATCATCTTGCTGACGATGGAGTGCACCGTGGGCAGATCCAGCTCGAACATGTGTGACAGCGTCTCCGTGCTGACGGAGTCGTAGACACTGCTGTAGGTGAAGAGGTGGGTCCTCGGTGACTCTTCCAGGATCTTCCTAACCAGCATGGTGCGCACTTTGTCAGCCTTGGGGAAAAGGTCCCACACTTTCTTATTCATCTTCTCATTGATGATGAAACTGGCAGGTCTTCCAGTCACCCATCTTCATGGCCTTAGAGGCAGCAACCACAGGTTCCCTTATGGACTCAGGGGGACCCAGCAGGGGCTGCCACTCGCCCACGCGTAGCTGGTGGTGGAACTGCTTGCTGATCATGCGTCAGTGGGCATCGCTCTCATGTGCGGCCATGTAGGGGATCTGCAGGAGCATGGCAGACACCAGGTAGACACACCCCAGCAGCTGCAGGTTGATGTGCAGGTGGAAGGGGGACCTGCCAGCGCCGCTCCACCTTCTCCTGCTCCTGGTTGCGCTCCTGCAGGCTGCACAGCAGCAGGGCCTGGCCCGGAAGCTCCTTGGCCCGGCCGCTGGACTGGATATCCAGCAGGGCGTTGTGCGCGTCCTTGGTGAGGCCTTGGCGGAGGGCACAGGTGCCCAGCTGCACCGTTGTGCGGTTGTGAAGGTTCCACAGTGGCGGGTCCGCGTGCTGAATGTTGCCCTGCAGGTGGCTCATGAGCATGAGGTCGCGGGCCTGGTACCAGCGGGAGCGCAGAGCATGGTGGTAGATGCGGCAGAGGATGGCGCATATGCGGATCCGGTCTGTGCGGTCCTTGGCGTGGATGTACTTGCACCATCTCTCCATCAGCGCGGCCGAGTCCTCACCCTCATTTTCTGCCTGATCTTGCTCTGACTTTGAGGAGCGCTCCGGCGGGGTCGGCTGCGGCTGATGGGCCTCCTAACCGAACTCGCAGTGGGTGTGCAGGGTTCGCAGCAGGTGGATACGGCAGACCTCCTCAGCGGTTCCCTTCTCCTCCAGGTAGTGCTGCACACGCTCGATGATGGCGCAAACCTGGGCCTCGTCCTTCAGGTGCTCCACGTACTCTTGGGAGTGAGGATCAGTATTTTGCATTATTTTGGTGAATTCTTCATCCATTCGTTCCACTAGAGTTAGGATGCACCCACAGACACGCAGTGGCTGGTCAGCATTGTGCAGGTTCTCAGTCTCTTCCAGAATATTCTCTCCAACAAAAATGTTGGGATTTGCAAGCAGGATGTCCATCAGCTCGTTGATGCAGTCCAGGCACTTCCCCCACATCTCTGGCTCCGTATAGGTTGCCAGGCTGGGGTCGTAGTCATAGTGCGAGGCGATGATACGGAACTTACCTTGACGATGATCCCGTCTCCCAGGTTGTTTCTGCCGCAGTCTGAACCAGCAGTGGTGGGCAGGACGATCAGTTCCCGTCTTGCCTTGTGCCTGTAGGATCTCATTCAGTCTCTTGATGACGACAGCATGGCTGATCTCCGTTCCCTTGGCAAACATTTTTGGGTTCTCGTTGACCAGGGACACTCCACCCCGGATCCTTTCCCACTCCCCGCCTTCATCGTCCTCCTCCTCCTCCTCATGCAGGCGCTGGGATTTCCTGCCATGCTTCTTATGTTTGTCCTCCCGTTTCTTCTCCACTGCCTTCTTGTCCTCATCTGTGTCTGTGGTGGGCGCCTTTTTAAGAAATCTTGAGGCCAGTGCGGTTTCTTTCCCTTCTTCATCCTCTGAGTCAGAATCGGAAGATGTGGAGCCTGTGTCCCAGTCTTCACCATCTTCAGAATCTTCTGAGTCCTCATCTTCATCCTCCATCTTTGTGAGGAACTTGCGACTCTCCCCAGAAGGAGCATCCGATTTCTTCTCCAAGAAAGTCGCAATACTGACTCTGCCCTCACCGTCACCCTCACCCTCATCTGAAGAGCCTTCTGAATCCTCCTCATTCTTCTCAGCATCTTCATCTGCAAACTGCTCGGGGTTCTGCTTGGAACTTGTGATACGGGCCCCAAAATCACGGTTGTATTTTCGGATCTTCTGGCGCAGGGTGCTCAAAGCCTTGGCGATGTTCTTGTTCTTCTCCTTCTTCTTCTTCTTCCCTTCCTTAACTTCCCAGAGCTCATTAAGATAGTCCTCTAGGTCAGCCAAGATGTGGATATAGAACCAGGGGACACCTTCTTTGTCCGCACTGCTCTTGGCCTTCCCATATGCTTCTCCCAGGGGCTCAGACTCTTCCAGGCACTTGGTGACATCACGAACCTTCATGGCATTATGAATGCCATAGATAAGCTTGGTCAGCTCCTCAAACCTCTTGCCCTTGGCACTTCAGACAACTCTCTCGGTATCTTCTTCATCCTCGCTCAGCAACAATGGCTGTTTGCCATAGTTGCCTCTGACAGGTTTGGTGACGAGGTCCTCCCCAGACAGGGACAACTCAGACTTGCTGTCCGAACCAGTGGTGAAAAACCGCGACATGGCGACGGTGTGGAGGTGCTACAGCCGGCGCTGCCGGACCAGCTGAGGTCTCTAGTCACACCGCTAGAGCCGGGACAGCGGAAACGCCGAAAGAGGACTGTCCTCTCTTGTAATGCTAATCCCAAACCCCAGGTTCTGAGCTTTTCACCAACTGGCTGTAAATCAGTATTCTGAGAACCCCCTCTTAAGGTTGGATTAATTTGATAGAGCATCTCAGAACCCAGGGAAATGCTAATGTTTAGTGGCTTATTATATATTTTTTGTTTTTTTATTTTTATTTTTTTTTGAGATGGAGTTTCGCTCTTGTTACCCAGGCTGGAGTGCAATGGCGCAATCTTGGCTCACCGCAACCTCCGCCTCCTGGGTTCAGGCAATTCTCCTGCCTCAGCCTCCTGAGTAGCTGGGATTACAGGCACGCGCCACCATGCCCAGCTGTTTTTGTATTTTTAGTAGAGACGAGGTTTCACCATGTTGACCAGGATGGTCTCAATCTCTTGACCTCGTGATCCACCCGCCTCGGCCTCCCAAAGTGTTGGGATTACAGGTGTGAGCCACTGCGCCTGCCCTTATTGGCTTATTATAAAGAAGATTCCCCAGGGCATAGATGAGCGACCTGATGGAAGAGATGCATAGGGCGAGACGGCAAGGATGGCTGGAGCCTCCAGGTCCTCCCCTACCCACCTCCACTTGTTCAGCTGCCTGGAAGCCCTTCAAATCCTGTCCTTTTGGGTTTTCATGGAGTCTCCATTACTTAGGTGTGATTCATACATCATTGACCGTTGGGGATCAGTTCAGCCTTCAGCCCTGTCCCCTCCCTGGAGATGTCCCAGGGGCTGGAATTCTTAACCCTGTGATCCTGTCTGGGTCTCTCTGGGTACTAGCCTCCCATCTTGAAGTTATCTAGGGCCCCGCAACCACCAGTCATCCTATTACATATAGAAGACACTCATCACTCCAGAGTTTCCACGGGTTTTGGGTGCTGTCTGCCAGGAACCAGTGACAAGACCACATATTTCTTCCTTATGATATTACAAGGCCTGAGTGGCCATGAGTCTGCTGCTGGTCAGCCCACTGTAGGACACACAGAGGCGGACAGCACTCCACAGACCACGCTGAGGCAAGCACAGCTCCTCAGCCCACTGGACTGCGCGGAGGCCGGCGCAGCTCCTCAGACCCAGAGATCACACAGAGGTGGGCGCAGCTCCACGGAAGAGGCGGGTGCAGCTCCTCAGACCCAGAGACCATGCAGAGGTGGGCACAGCTCCTCAAACCCAGAGACTGCGAGGAGGCCGGTGCAGCTCCTCAGACCGTGCAGTGGCAGGTACAGCTCGTCTGCATCTTCAGTGCCACCGGCATCCCCAGTGCCACCCGGATCCCCATAGCTCCACTTCCCACTGTGTGAAATCAAGCGGAGAGCTGACTGAGTGGAGCCCCCACCTCCCTTTTTTTTTTCTTTCTGAGACAGGGTCTTGCTCTGTCACCCAGGCTGGAGTGCAGTGGTGCGATCTTGCAACCTCTGCCTCCTGGGTTCAAGCAATTCCCCTGCCTCGGCCTCCTGAGTAGAGATTCCCCTGCCTCTCTCCTCAGGTGAGATTACAGGCGTGAGCCAGCACACCTGGCTAATTTCTTTGTATTTTTAGTAGAGACGGGGTTTCACCATGTTGTCCAGGCTGGTCTTGAACTCCTGACCTCAGGTGATCCATCTGCCTGGGCCTCCCGAAGTGCCGGGATTACAGGCGTGAGCCACCACACTCGGCTCCGAGCAGGGCCCTTCTGAGCTGCAGCGGCAAGTGCGCCATCTGCCTGTGCCTGGCACGGCAAAGCGTCGCTGTGGTCCGGTGACTGCTCTTGTGCTGAAGGGGTGCGGTGCACGTGGTATCAGCACAGTTCTGAACTCCAGGACAGGCGATGCTCAGGCGTGTTCGAAGAGTTAAAGGGAGTGTCTCATCACAGCAGAACTTTACAAAGATAAAGATGAAAATGAGGATTCAGTCGATGTAGGTTTCCGCGTGACCGACTTAGCCCGGCAAGGAAAGCGCTTATCAGCAGTGAGGAAATCATGTTTGATCATCTCAGCCAAGGAAGCGTGTCCAGAGGAAAGAAACCTGCTCAACACGATTAGTCCCACAGAGAAAACCGTCGCCGGGAGCTGAAGACGTTGGGAGCCACGTGAACAGGCAGGAAACGGCATCACTGGGATAAGTTTCCCTGGATGTCCGTGAGTCAGCAGACGTCACTAATACTGCTCAGTTTATTCGAGGTATCAGTAGTGGGTTCGGGCTGGGCGTGGTGGCTCACACCTGTAATCCCAGAACTTCAGGAGGCCAAGGTGGGCGGATCACCTGAGGTCAGGAGTTCGAGACCAGCCTGGCCAACCGGGTGAAACCCCATCTCTACTGAAGATGCAAAAATAAGCCGGGTGTGGTAGCACGTGCTTGTAGCTGCTTGGGAGGCTGAAGTGGGAGATCTCTTGAACCCAGGAGGTTGAGAACCTGAGGCAGAAGAATTGCTCGAACACGGAAAGCGGAGGTTGTAGTGAGCCAAGATCACACCATTGCACCGCAGCCTGGGCGACAAAGTGAGAGGCCATCTAAAAAAAAAAAAAAAAAAAAAGCAGTGGTGAAGTGTGTTGCCCAGAAAAGGGCTTCTTAGAAGTGTAAGGTGCTGAGGTGATTCATTATGTTACTTGTTGGCAGGTAAATACTTTGTGGAAAGTGTGTGTGTGTGTGTTTGTTTTGAGACAAAGTTTTGTTCTTGTTGACCGAGCTGGAGTGCCATGGCGAAATCTCTGCTCACTACAACCTCCGCCGCCTGGGTTCAAGTGATTCTTCTGCCTCAGCCTCCCGAGTAGCTGAGATTATTTTTTTGTATTTTTAGTAGAGACGAGGTTTCTCCATGTTGGCCAGGCTGGTCTCGAACTCCTGACCTCAGGTGATCCACAAGCCTCAGCCTCCCAAAGTGCTGGGATTAGAGGCTTGAGCCACTGTGCCTGGCCTGTGGAAAGTATTTGAATCTGTCATGCCTTATGGAACCAGTAGTTTCAGCAGTGAACTTTGACTCTCCTTGACTATTATCAGTTCTTGAATTAAAAAAACCTTTTTTTAAAGAGATGGAGTCTTGCCGTATTGCCCAGGCTGGAGAGCAGTGGCACAGTCTTGGCTCATTGCAGCCTCGACCTCCTGGCCTCAGGCGTGAGCGCCTGCACCTGGCGTGAAGCTGACCATCTTGACTTGCTGTCCTGTGCAGCGGCTCGATGGCTCAGCAGTGGCGAAGTCCTGTTGTTTTTAAATTAATTAATTAATTTTTTAGACGGAGTTGTGCTTGGTGGCCCAGGCTGGAGTACGGTGGCACGA